TGTTAGTTAGTTAGACAACATGTTTGGTGGCCTACAAGGGACGAAGACATTAAAAACTTGGTTTAGTCATGCAGCATTTGCAAGAGCAACAATCCTGCTCCTCCGAAAGAGTACTAAAGTTGGCCTGCAGCAACAAAAGCATGGGAGCGAATTCATATCGACTTCGCCGGCCCAGTAGTTGACTCTATGTGGCTTATCTGTGTAGAAAACTTCTCGCAGTTTCCATTCGTAGTTCAAATGTCGTCCACTACAACCGCCAACACGATCGCTGTACTACCCAAAAACCGTGGTCAGCGATAACGGACCGCAGCTTACGGCTGACACTTTTGAGGAATTCTGCAAACAACACGGAATAAAACACATAACCACAGCACCGTTCCATCCTGCATCCAACGGATTAGCAGAGCGTTTTGTTCAGATGTTCAAACTCACAGTCATAAAGAACATCAACGACATCAACATCCAGTCCTGTCCCTGAAATCCCACAATCAGCTTTCTGACAACCGACGCAAAGAGAAGATCAAGTAGAAACCCCACCTGCTCAACATCTACCCAGCACCCGAGGCAAACTCAACCAGCACGACTGTCATCCGGCATACCTGTGCGCCAAGGCAGTCGTGTTCGCCAGGAAGTAGATCTTTTCATGGCCAAGGGTTTTAAAAAAGCCAAATATCCTAATCGTTCTTAATAAATGGAGGAGATGTGTTATATATTGTATATAGGTGCTCTGTTAACATTTAAGAAAATCTGGCAACTCTCTTAATTCAGAAACTGTAAAATCAATCTTAACAGGAAATTTTGGAATTAGTATTGCAAATTCCACTCTTCTGCATAGCATATCAATCGGAACGGTAGAACGTTTTCACAGTACGCTAGCCGAGATAGTTCATTGCCATTGACATTTTGCTATTAGCAACTGTAGAATACAACAAAACAATTCACTCCGTAACAGGTAAAAGACCCGTCAAAATTATGCATTCAACCCCCAACAAACTTGAAATAAAAATTAAGGAAAAAATACAAAAAGCTCAGGAAAACACCCTAGACCACGTAAGCAAATACAGTGCTTACAAAAGTTTTCAGTTGGGGGACAGAGCCTGGTTAAAAACAAATAAACGGCTAGAAAAACGGATACGGTACAGATACGTTGGACACACAGCTAATATAACATTTTACGAGACTTATGCGGACGAAACATCATCATTAACGACAAAGTTCCCAAGGAAACATGTGGAACTAGTAGTACTCTCCGACATCGAAAACATTCGTACACTAGTAGGCACAATTAAAATACACCATAGACAGGGTCTTAGTTTTAACATGTTAGGATCCGCACTGAAAGTAATAGCAAGGACTCCAGACTTTGAAGACTGGGAACAAAAAAATTGAGACAATTCCAGTTAATACAGACTGAAAATAATCAGATAGACATCAATAGCAAGATTCAAACTCAATTTAATCTTCTGTCTTAGAAAGTAAACTCCATTAGAAGGCTGACAAGATAGAGTCCGACCACCTGTACGAGACAGTTCTTCCAAAAAATAGAGCAGTAACAACTAAAGTGGAAAACTTAGTTACATCCATAACTTTAGCAAAAGTAAATTTGTTGAGTCCGGCTATTTTATATAACATTGATGTAAGAAAGCACAATATCGTAATATTAGATTTAGATCAACACAACACTATCATGGGGTTCTGGGGAAAACACTGGATGTGCCAGCCATGGCTAAAATCAACATTACTGAGCACCACCAACTCCTTAGTCTACCGTTTCTGCAGCGAATCGGCGATCTTGGCGGCCAAATTACATATGGCTCCGGCCGCCAGCAGCGCTGCCAAAAAGTGCGGCATCAACATTTTAGCCGAACGATAAAGTGGCGAGCCGCAGTTTCATTTTGAATTGTATTTCAGTTTCTAAACAGGGCTCAAGCTGCCCTAACGGGTTACTAATAAAGAATAAAATAATAAAATCACTTTTGTTATAATTTATATTTAGTAGTCCCGGTCGCACACTCTCCTGGTGCGCTTCGTCACAGTGATTCTGTGTATTGCAAAAAAGTCGCAAATATATATTATATATTTATACCCGTTACTCGTAGAATACAAGGGTATACTAGATTCGTCGAAAAGTATGTAACAGGTAGAAGGTAGATGTTTGTGCCTAACCGAAGTAGACACTCGCAAGACCATCGCGTCGCGGCAATGGTAACGATGGTTACAGCGATTCCGGACCACAGGCGATTCTAGAACTGCGCTGAGGTTAGGCTAACGTGTTTAGCTGCTAGTTGAGATAGTGTATTACGAGCCCTATAACCGGAAGTGGAAAGTAGTACCGCGGAGTTATAAGTTGCGTTGATGGCTGATTTATTCTTCATTTAATACATGCTTACATAATACTTGGAAGACCGAAGTTTAGTGTAATGATTAGTGAAAAAAGCTATATTCTAAAGTAGGTAGGTAGGTAGGTTTTGATTATGGTAGCAGTTTGCGTAGTTGGTAGTTGGAAGAACGCTGTAGTCGAGTGCCTCGACTATCAGATACCCGTTACTCAGATAAAGGCACCAAAGCGAAATGGAGATATGCAAGCAGGAAAGCGAGATTGAAATGAGCCACCTATTGAAACGACCCCCGGGGATTGTAATTTCTTGTTAATCTGCATGGAACAGAAAAGTTTGGCTGGCTAACCAAGTCGGGGCAATGGATTTCACCGCGAATAAGGTTATGAATAGAGACTGCTCCAAGGATCGTTCTGCGGTTGGCTAGGAAGGGTAAGCTAATTAGGAGTTATCTATTATCTATTATCTACTAGAATAGAAATTTTAAATTAGTTTTGCATCACAGCTTTGGCGCATTAAAGCAAATAGCAAAAAGTTCTTCGGTAGAGATTCTATACGATCAACGTTAACTCCGTATTAGGGACTTTAGGCGGGAGATCCATACTCAAGTATCGGGTGGACATGCGAAATAAGTAAGTTCTGTGTAACATAAGGATCATCAAATTCCTTGGACCACCTTTTAATAAAGCATAATGCACCCCTAACTTTATTCACCATGGACGAAATATGATCAGCAAATCTTAGTCGAGGGTCCAAAAGAACGACAGATTTTACTAGAGATATTCTATCCAATGAGCCCTCAATCAGCGTGTATATTAAGGATTGGCTCGACAAAAAGTCAGTACCCTACACTTAGAGCTATTTAAATCCAGTAAATTGCAAGAGCACCATGTTTGAACATTTTTCAAATCGGATTGTAAGTTGGACTTGCAAAAAAGAATCCTCGTACGGCAGGCATAATTGAACATAACCTGCGTACATTAGTAGACGAGAATGAGTGATAACTGAGGGAAGGTCATTTATATACAAAATAAAAAGCAGCGGCCCCAGGTGGTTCCCTTGTGGACACCGAAGGTAACGTCGAGTATACAAGGGAGAGCATTTTTAAAAAGTACTCTTTGTATTCTGCAATTCAGACAACTAACGATTGTAGCGTGTAACGGTCGACTAAAGTGCAAAGTACTTTTTTGATTCCAAGGATCTGTATTGGCTGGGCACGCTACATATTCCGGCACTAGGTCGTCGGCTTGGGGGACGGAGGTCTTGCTCGTACAGATATGGACACTGTCTACGTATTACTATTATTAAGGTCAAAATTGAGCGTGCAAGTTATCCAACCCGTGAAACGGTTCCACTTATGGAATTTATAAACAAATTTTGGAATTCAATCTCAGCTATGTTACCCTTGCCTTCAGCGACATTGCCTTTGCCTTTGTTTAAGATTCTGCCTTTGACTTTGCCATTCACTTCGAGGGCCGCGCTTGACCGTCCTGCTAAGATAAATAAACCAATCGTAAAGTAAACACAAGCTTCCGTTCGAAGCCCAAACTTTTCCGTTCAAAGCCCACAGTATTGCGTTCTAAGTTCAGAACATATTGCGTTCCGATTTTCAATCAAATTGCATCGGTCAGCATAATTTCATTTCACAATGAGATGCGACAGTTTCAGCATAAGCTTTTATTTTAAACAAAAATTAAAGTTCTGGAAGCTTAAGAAAAGGAAAGCTTCTGGCCGAGGTTCATTGGATAATTTTTTAGAATTAAGATTCAGTCCTATTTTATCCGAGACCGCGATCGGTTCACAATTTTTAAAAAAGTGTCTTGTATTAATTCAGTTTAAGAATAAAGGTTTATCACCCAAGTTTTAAAAATTAAAAATAAATTTTTTTAATTCATCTATTAACGACGAATTTAATTTGCATGCGACAATATCGAAAGCTAGTTACTAAACCGGAGAAACAGATGAATAATTTAGAAAAATAAAGTGTTGAAAAGCAAAAAGGAAGTTATTTAAAGGGGAAAGTGTGAAAGAAAGAGACATCAGCTGAGTTCAGTTAGTTAAAGTTTTTTTAAGCTTCCATTTCATTAATCACTTCACTTTCAGATAACATATATAATTTTACTAAGTTGATTCACAATAGGGTGAACAAATTTCAGTGAGAAAAAAAAAAGATATAAAACTGTTGAACCGCATTGGTAAATGCTGGGCTTCACAGGTGTATATAATTATAGTAAAGTAGTATGGTATAAAGTATATGAGTATAATGAGTGTATGAACATGTGATGAAAAATAGTTAAAAATAAGGATAGTCTACAAGTTCGCATAATATAATTTGTTCACAGATGTAGGATAATGATAACAATATTTTTATGTTCAAAGAAACTCAATAATTTGTTTTTATAAATATTAGTATTCATTTTCATTATTTCCAATGGCTCACGCTATTTATTTACATTTAAGTATATATTTTTTTAATAATTTAATTTATCAAAGAAGAAATTCTCAGTGTGAAATAACAGAATTCCTTTAAAAGTTTAATTTATTGGCAAGATTAAATTTTAAGCAACGGTTTTCTTAAATTTGTAGCGTAGATATTTTTTTTAATAACGTTTATATGGCTTTAATTGATTTTCATATTTGTTCTTCTGTTAAATAAAAATAAAGGTAAAAACAACTCACACAGCTGGTTCCTCGGCGGACGATCGATCTTCGGACACAGGTAGGCTGTAAAAGAAAGCAAAGTATTTATCTGCTTTGGAATTGGATTATATGTACACTTATAAACGCTTCATTATTTTTCGAATCAAAACGAATTTAAGAAAACTTTTTCCAGGGAGAGAGTAACCGTAAGTTAACCGCGCATCAGATGAATTTTTACTTATTTATAATCTTCATAATTATTTAATTTAATTTAATTTTTCCATGATATAGTTATCATTATTAAACCACTTTTTCTTTCGGTAAATTTTTCTTCTTGTTAAATTGACTGACTCTTCCAATGTTAAGAAAATTCTCCCAGTGTAGCCTTGTTCACTTTTATGCACGTGGAATTTTTTTCCGCCATCTTGATAGTTTAAAGGCTACAAAAAGGGTTAGAATCGATGCCTAAGCGGTAGATTTTACATGTTGATGATCTGGGTTAGGGCCGATTTAGTCGGGCAGGCTTTCGCAATTCACGGGGCTATTTGGTAGAGGAAATTCCTAGACTTGCTATAATTAGGGTTCTCCTCGCTGCAACTGCCGATCGCTGAGCAAATTGGGGTGCTCCCCAAGGTAACTCAGAATATGAACAAATAGGCGTGCCCCCCAAGTCAAACTGCAGAACGCTGGACACGGTAGGGTGCTCCCCGAAGCAACTGCAGATCGCTGGACACGGTGGGGTGCTCCCCAAGGAAAATGCAGATTGGTGGTCGATGCGGGTGCTCCTCAGGGCAACTCCGAATCGGTGGTCGATGTGGGTGCTCCTCAGGACAACGGATGAAGACAAACTGGGCACCTAGCGAAAAAGAACGACCTACGTGTGAGAAAAAACCTTCGATCACTGAAAACTTTACCAATAAACCTTGCAAATGCACTCGCGCTGCTGGTTTGCCATGGCGGCCGAATCGGGAATCGTTGAATTTCAGCCTTGAAGAAGCACAGAAATTCAGCACACGAAATGATTTTGCGAAAAAAAAAAACTCACTTCTTTGATTTGTTACTTGAGAAAACCACTTTTAGATAAAATCGTTCTGCCACGTGCTTTTATATATCGAAGTTTTGCCGAATTGGTACGCTTAAAATGTTCCACGTCTGTCTGCCACACCGGTTCAATTAAAAAGGAAGTTCAAAAATCCTACGGCGTTGAATTCGGCTATTGCCGGAAATTTCAGCCAGCTAAGAAGTCCGCCATTTCGAGTTAGAACAAGTCTTTCGGTGCTACCCTGCAACAGCTGATTCAAGCCCCACCTGGCATCCCCAGCAGAGATACTAATTAGTTTTTTTTTTTTAACACTAATTACCGACACTAATATGGGCATGCATCTGGCTGGATGCAAAGGTAACTTAGAGACTTTCAAATTGGAGCATACTTTTGGGCCGAACATTACTGAGAACGTTCTTTAGGCGCCGCTACATGATCCATCCTAAAAGATCAACAGGGAACTCTAAAAAATAAAGATTTCTAACCAGAAGAAAGTCATTTATTGTGTCAAATGCTCTACTAAATTCAGTGTAAATGGCATCTGGTTGAAGATGTTTTTTAAATCCCTGCATCACAAGTTATGTCAGTTCCAAAAGGTAAGTGGTTGTTGATCTGCGTTTCATAAAACCGTTTTGACTCTGATATATTACTGACCTACAGGGGTGCTGCAAGTGGGGAGTAATAATATTTTCAAAGAGCTTTGGGATCGCTAATAATTTAGAGATACCTCTATAATTGCATGCTTCCTCTTGATATCCTTCTTGTTTAGGGGAACTACAAACGATCCTTCCACTTATGGGGAAATTGTGAAGATTCTAAAGATAAGGTATACGAGTATAGTTTAAGAAAGGGCTTGCAGCCAGGAATTCAATCAGGTCCAGGTGAATTTACAGGCTTGTTACGTTGAAGATCAACAAGCAAAGAGCTTTCATTTCAGGTGGGCCAGAATATTCAACTCGACTTGGATACAGTGTAAGAATAAGGCTGTGAAAAATGGGGTAAATGAGGTAGTATTTTCAAAAGATAGCAAAATTATAAAACTCTCTCTGATTATGAGAAAATTGAACTTTACAACGATTAAAATAGTTTTTGTAACACAAAGAGTTTAGCAAGGTAAAACTTGAGTACCTAGAATAAATAGATTGAGAAGCGGTATCTTTGAATTTCTTAAAAAGTCTGGACTTCTTATTTCTTAAGTGTGTCAACTCTTTACTAAACCAAGGTGGCTTGTTGGAGTCTGACGGATAGTTTATATATCGTAACATAAGAATTAAAAACCGAATTTACTCAATTATAGAAATTATTTATAGCATCATCCAAATTTTGGGATCGGACCAATTAAAGCATGATATATAAAAATATAGCCGCTGAAAGTTAGCCTTGCGAAAACAATGCAATCTCTTAGTTGACCTCTCTGATTTTTCTTCTAACAGCACCAGTGTCAATTGAGACCTCGAAAGCAGGATTATATGGATCTTCGGGTTGAGTATGAGGTCCTACTTTGGACAGAAACACGCAGTCCGGATTAGTTACAAAGCACAGGTGCAGTAAACAGCCTAAAAAATTTGTAATGTAGTTAACTTGAAATAAAGATATGTCAAGCAAGCCTTCAGTGAAATCATGATGGGCTAAAGGAAGTAAGACATTTGTTTTTTCATCTGTGGACGTGAACCAAGTCATATTTATGTACTCATTTCTGATTTGATAAAGCGAGCAAGCAGTCTCTCGCATATAACCTCCACGATACGAACAATTAAATCTACCCAATCGGTGGAGCGACAATCAGAACCGACTGAGAAATTAGAAATTTTATAATTCATATACTTTTTAGAGCTTTTTTTAAAGCTTCATTCACAGCTTTGAATGTACTTGCCTCCAAAAATGTTTTTATTTTTCCCTGAAAGTGTCTGCGTGCTTAGCACTTAATCCTTCATTTATATATGAAGCTTCTAAGAATTTTCAAAAATTATCTACACCAGTGGTAAATTGCGTCGCAGTTTTTTCTTTCTGGTGTATACTGGCAAGTTTGGCTTTGATTACATTGTGTTTGTGCCTAACCGAAGTAGACACTTCTGGATCACACCGCGGGACAAGGGGGTAATGAGTACTTGTCGCTGGCACTGGGACGCTTTGCTGGCAGGACGATTGCGTCGCGGCAATGGTAACGATGGTTACTGCTATGCCTGGCCACAGGCGATGCTGGAGCTGCGCTGAGGGTGAGCTAACGTGGTTTGCTGCTAGGTGAGATAGTGTATTACGAGCCCTATTCCCAGATGTAGGAAGTAGAACCGCGGAGTTAAGAGGTGTGTTGATAACTGATTTATTCTTCATTTGGTACATGTTTATATACTACTTGGACCACGGAAGTTTAGTGTAATGATTTGTGAAGTAGGCTATATTCTAAAGTAGGTCAGGGAATTATGATTATGGTAGCAGTTTGCGTAGTTGACTTTGCGTAGTTGGCTGACACTGCAAAATGTGCTGACTGCATTGGGGGGTCAGTGTGCCGTTGAGTCGGTGAGACGGTGAGTTAGTGAGACATATAATATGCTGATCAGCCATTCTCGTATGCAGTGGGTGCTACTGAGCGCCTGGTACTGTTCCCAACTTGGCTACTGCTTGATTTGTTGGGTGTGGTCATGTTGAGTACCTTTGGGTACGAACACATTGAATGATTCGCCAACTATTGTTGCCTAAAATATTGGGGTCTTATTTGGTACCTTGTACAATGTGGGACCAATTACACAGGAACGCAAAGTTGAACATTTTTCGGGAACCAGTCATAGTTTTCCACAATAATTGGATCCTACTGAGTAAAAGTCCCATACAAACTTGTGTTCCATCACCTACAGGTTCCGCGGTACAGCTAGGAATACAAAAAAACCGATGCTTGCCCACATATTGAGTTATGTGGCCTACGTCATTGAACCTACCTTAAATATTTTTTCTGAAACACACTCTCAATACATGATGACATTACTAAAAAATACTGTCCATCCATAAGCAATTGTCCATGCCTTAGGAAATTAAAGCCAAAGTTAAAGCTTACAAGTTTTCACAATTTCTCTGATGGACAACCGCATGCAAAAAATAAATCTTCTATGGAACTAATTTTTATTTTTCTTTGAATCGATTGTCCACTGTACGCTTTAATTTGGGCTCAAATAAATTCACGAAGACATTATAATGAATTTGTGTCACGTTCCAGTTCCGATGGAGAAGCATTGCACAGCAACTGTGTGGCAACTCCGAAGCCAGTTGGCGAGTAATTGTGGAACGAGAACGACACATCGCAACGTACAAATTTCATAAGCCGATATATCTATTCATATTTTGTAATCCATTCGTTTATCATTAAAATACTATAACTAATAACACGAGTTAGTGTAATTATTCACCGTAAGTCGCGCTATCTATTCGCCTTATTCCTGACAAACCAACAGCAACTCACACATTCCCCTATACAACGCCTTAGTATTGGGATGTATGTGACATTTGTTATAGCAATAAAACCGTTTTTTCGTTTCATTAGCTACTCCTTAATGTTGTCAAATTTTAAATAAGTCATTGCAACCTATAGAGTTCAAAAAAATGTGTATGTTTTTATATGTTCTTCCTTTTGAATCCTACAACGATTTTTTCTCGTAACTAATTTACTTTTTTATAAAGAAAAAACAAATATAGAATCAGATAGTATAAAACGTGATTGGGATAAAAGGTCACAATGGAAAATAAATACGACATAGAAGTAATTGAATTAATTCTATCGAAGTTACTATCAACTAGATCAAAAAAGGAAAATAAATAAGTAAGGCACCGTGTGGAAATGGTTGGATTTACAGTACAAAATAAAATCGACGACTTCATTAAAAATAATAACACAAAATTGTTTAAAGAATAATAATCTCTTTCTGAAGATCTTAAAAAGTTTTTATTGATCCAGATTGACCATTAAGAAAACATCGCTTACGATTATTGACTTTTGACATACAAAATTTAATTCATACTGCCAAAAATTGATGTTTTTAATACAAACA